TTCCCCCCCCCCCCCCTCGCGTCACAGTTGTACTCACACCAATTGATTTTTCTTCTCTCATTTCACTGTGCACCTTTCCGTTTAGAGTGCAAATGATCAATACTGGTGTGTTCACTGTCCGCATCTGTGGGCTCAATTTCTCACCGCTGTCGAAGTTTTTGACACACCTTTGGGTCGACGAGCTACTCTGCGCCGCACAAGACTCGCGCTTTACCGTCAGTCTTTGTTAGAACCGGTGCCGTTCACTGTTTGGGCTTCGATTTCNGCACCTGCCAGACCTTTGCAACCCGCGATGCATCTTCTCATCGATCTTGACTGTCCAATCAATCCGTTGGATACAGATCGACGTGGATATTTTGGTCATTCGGAAAGGGTAGAGCCAATAAGTCTTTTTCTCGGTACTATTCCACTACTGAACGGTGGTATGTGTTGGGTTCCCGTTGGTGAAAATCAGCGTCTACCAGATGCACTCGATCAGATGTTGTTCCTGGCCGATCTAGGAAATCAACTATCTCGAGTCAAAGATCAGCTGGGTCTGGATCTTAACCGAATTGCCAATCTGTTTCGCAATCCCACAGGGTCAGAAGAGCTCACTGTCTCTCTTCTGCTGTACACCGTGGCCTTTGTCGTGCAAAATCCAATCCAACTCCATTTGGTTCCTCCCGATGCTCAGGAAGATCCTGTGTTGCACCAATCTGATGAAGCTCTACGCACTTCCCAACAAAGTTCGGAAATATCACATCCCCAAGGAATGGAACATTCGGGTCACGATTCTTCCCGATCGCGTTCGTCTCTGATGAACGAACAAGATGGTCCGAGCGCATTGCTGGATGCGTCAGTTTATTCAAAGTATAAAAAAGATACGTCGTTCCCTTTGTTAGCTAAGGTAATTAAAAACTTTGCCTCTCCGTTGATGGCATTCACATTTTCATCTATTAGAACTTGATGAACCTGAGAGATTAGCAGAATTGCGCAAATGATTATTCCATCATTTTTCGGAGCCATGACGAATTTCATTAATTTAAACTGACTATCCCTCGGACGTCACCTACACGCACATTCTTCAGCATGTCAATATCAATTACTCCACACCGCTACTCACAAGTAATTGTGAGTCAAGAGCACATAACTGAGTGTAACACGAACGTTATTGCATAATACTGCATCTGTTTGCTTTGATTGAATTCTTACAATTAATACGAATATTGACTGTTTTTGATGTTTTTCTTTCATGACAGTATCACTAACGCGTCGCATTACCATTCGATCGAAGATTTCACGACCAGAAGGGTTCACTATATTTGAGTTCGGGAATTTCTTAGGAAAAGTACTACTTGTAGTCGATTTCAATTTTATTTCCAATTCACACCAAACCATTTGACTGCATTTAATCCTGGTCATAAACTGCATAGTCAGCTTCATCTTTGTCAGTATTCTCATTTACCGATCTCCCCAAAACATGCAGAATCGTCAACCAGACAACCTTAGCATAAAGTCATCCTCCACTTCAGACATCACGGCCGTTTCCGGTGACTTTGTGGACAATGTCAGTGTTGCCGGTTCTCAAGAAAATTGGCTTAACACTTATGAAGTACTGTTTCGGTTAGAAGATGAGTTGAAAGATTCAGACAGTGCGTCGGTCTCCGGTTCAAGCGGTTGCACTTCGGGTCATAAACCAACTCATCTGATGCCGACAGTAGTCCAAGAAGTCGGGACCGAGTTGTTCGAGACCGAATCCCTTCGCTCGTCTCAGTTAAGTGGTGCCAGCGATCCGGAGGCTCCGGGTTCTGGACTGGGCCGTTCCTCTCGTCTATCTACACGTAGTTTCGGCGATCGCAATCAACGAGAGGCTACATGTCGACCGAGATCGCCTGATGAATCATCCACTCCTTTGGTGATCGTTTTTCAGCTAGATGGCGTTGCCGGAGAAGCAGGTAAGTGCCTTCACGGTTATTTCTGGGACAGGCCGAAAGGCGGCTGGTTTATTCACTATTGTGGTATTTGTCAATATTCTGATGTTGGTCATGCATGTTACTTTCTTCCTGTCTGTGTATTTTGTTTTCCCACGTAATTCATTCACAAATGCAGGTTGCAAACAGTTTATTATATGACGAGGATAGAAATGTGTTCCGCTTGCGTAGATTAGTGAGTACTCGCTGTATTTAACCTTGCATCAGATTCCTCGACTGTTTCCCTTTCAGTCTGGACTGGTAAATAGTTTGATGGGCACAATTTTTTTTCCAGTGGACATTGAAGAATCACAGATTCGATTGAGGTGGTTGAGAAGATTATTACTTTTGGATAAGCAAATAGAAAAATGTAGATATTTTCAAATTAACTATGACAGTCTGTATGTAGCACTTGATCACTTTTGGACACAATTTACGCCTTGAATGGTGGGTGCATACCGTCTCAGCAAACTGCGAACATTCAGTCCCCTCCCCACCCGCATCGCATTAAACGCATTTAGTCACCTGTTTCAAATCATAACCAAGATTGCTTGCATTTGGTTTCAGACGGCACAGATATAGAGACGCGTATGTGGTTAAAAGTTGGACGTATAGGCCTCACTTGTCAACAGGGGAACCAGAACCGCATAGCCGATGCCAAATTGTTGTCTGAATCGCTTGCTTCTCTCACATCAACTGGAGGTTATTCGTGGTCTGTGTTCGCTTCCCTAACACGACAGCTGATCGGTCAATCCTCCGATGATTCAGAAAACGAAGTTTCCTACCAAACGTCTGTTTGTTTGCATGCTGACCTCCTCACAAGCTATTCTCTTCAAGTGCCCAAGATTGTTCCACAAACTGCAGGACAGTTACTAAATTGTTTTAGCGCGCGTGGAGGTATCGATCGATTACAGTCAATGTTACCCACGGGGACATTATTGCGAGAGATGCAAGCCCGGCTCACCACAATGGATTTCAATTTGCATTTGAAACGAGGGTTTCTGGCGGTGGAGATTGAATCTTCCAATTCTAATTATTCTCAGTCCGGTGAATTAATCCGAAAGGTGAGTGGCGTATAGTGATCAGTATTTTACTGAAGATTGTGCGAATAATATTTGTCTTTAACGAGCCTATTATGCTTCAGTCGCCAGATGAACTTATTCAACCTTGTCCAAACGCAGAGTTCGATTGGCTGCGCTACACTGTCGTGCATGTTCGTCACGTTTGAATTTATCGTTTGCCTCATCCATATACCGGTGCTAATCATGTCCAGGATCTATAAATATTCTCGTCAGGACGACTAAAAACTGTGAATTCTGTGCTACCCGCTAACTATTTGCTTGGTGAGGGTCATAAAAGTCCTTGAATCAAAAAACGCAGACGGGCCGGAGGCAGACTGCACTTACTTGCACTCCTACTGCCAAGATGACTGTGCCATCAATGGTCATCACCAACATTCGCGAAGATCTCGGATTTAACCTCCATTCTGAACACACGTGTTGCTTGTGTACAAGAAACCTGGTTGAATCAAAACATTGAGGAAGTGCTCATGCGAATAGAAGGGTTTGAATGCTGCCGGTAGGATAGACAGCGAAATAGGAAAAAGACTGAGGAAGTGTGGCTACTTACAGTAATGTTTCCTGGTGTGACAAATCAGAAGTTATATATAACTATTCTGAAAAATACATTGTTTGTTCGTTGTCATCCTGGATTTTCTCGTCACAAATGTGCAATCTTCACTAATGTGTATATATATATCTCGTGTACTCGTGACCGAAATTTCTGTTTTCTTTGATTCTTGTCCCGTTTCTAGTTTCATTATTAGATGAAAATCTTCACTTAATTGTTGATGATTTCAATCATACAAGCATTTCTCCCCTGTTTCCGTTTGGTCTATCTGACCTTTCTCATTCTCCCACCAGAGGTAGTTCTGTGCTGGACAGAGTGATCCCAAACCATCCCAACTTATTTTCCCTCAAACTAATGGCCCCGGTTTCTTCCAGTGACTATAGATAGTATTCTTCTTGTTAGACCAAAGGTATACATACTCTCGCATTGTTTAGCAAGCATTCATACGTGCTATTCAGATAGAATTTCATCTAAGGAACTTTTCACCCAGCCGTATCTCTCTTCTTAACCGTTCTATTGTGATTGTTCAGTCTTCCTTTGCTCTTGTCCTTCGCTTTTTACATATGGCAATCTGTTCACTAAAACGATTAAATCGACCTTTAACCTGTGTTGTCCAATGAAAATCCTGTTTGTCTGTAACGGTAGAATTACCTCACCCCTTTTTGAAACCACTGAGAAGGTACAAAGAAATGGCCTACAAATATCGTCATGCATCAATTGTGAAGCACTATTTTGATTTAATCAGGTCCGAGATAACGTACCTAAATGCAATCTTCGCCACCCAAATTCTACGAAAAAAGAACACCAGGCTTTTATGGCAAGGTATTCGTCTTCTCTGTGGGCAGAACAGAAAACATTCTAATACCTCTGTGAATTTCAACAGCCTTAACGCCGCTTTCATCCACCCGTCACACGAGAGCCAGATTTCATCATTCCTATACAATAAATCAAGTTCAATGCCTTTTTCCAATGATTTAATCTTTAAGTTTCTTCGATCCTGCAAGCATCCTCAGTTGCAGGCCCTGATGGTCTTCCTCTGGCACTTCTGAAATTCGGAGCAGCTTCCCTAACCAATATGATGACATCCGTCGTCAATGAGTCCCTATCTTCCCGGTCGATTCCTGATCCTTGGCGTCCAGTGACCATTATTCTGATCCCCAAATCCACTTCCTCCACAGCCCTTGCGAAACGGTTTCGTCCTATCGCGTTGACCTTAGCGGCTCTAAAGTTACATGAAAAAACCCTCCTGAGTCGGTTGCAGTCAGACAACACAATTCCTCACGACCCCCTTTGAATATATAAACCAAACAGATCTACAATGGACGCCGTGTTCACTCTAATGCATTTTATCAGCAAGTCACAATTCGACCAAGTCTGTCCGTTGTGTTTTTCTTGACTATTCATCTACGTTTGATCCTGTTTCCCTATCGTCCCTTCTTTTCAAACTTTTGGCACTCCAAAACAACTGCTCTCATGGCTTGCTGACTATTTCACAGAGAGAGTACAGTGCACCAAATTAGAAAGGAGGACATCAAGACCTCATGTTCATAATTCTGGTGTTCAAGGTGCTGTTCTATCTCCGTAACTTTTATCTGCCTTTATTATTGATCTTTCGGTCCCACCCCCTGCGCACATCCAAAAGTACACTGATGACGTTGTTTTCTATCAAACAGTTTCATGTCCTTCGGAATTTCATTCTTTTACCGAAAACCTATCCCACGTCCAACAGTTTTCTGACCAATCTGGTCTCAGTCTTAACATAGCTAAGTGCGTAGAGTGTATTTTCAGTCTTTCCCGCTCTTCATTTCCAACGAACTCTGCCACCCTTAACCTTAAACCTGTATCCAGAATGACCTCGGTCAAGTACCTGGGCGTCACCATCGACAGCAATCTTCATTGGTCTACACATATTGACAACTGTTTGGGAAAACTGAGGCACCTATCTTCTCAGTTACGCAAACTCAGGCAATTCCGAACCCCACAGTCAGCCCTGTCATCTTCCGTTCATCAAGCGTTCTACCCATTCTACTCTAGTGCTCCCCTGTGGTGTTTCCCGGTCTTTTAAAACAAGACTTTAAAACAATTCGCCGTGGTTTGGTGATCATCAGTGGTGCATCATCAATTACGATCGATTCAGTAATCACGAAACTCATTGATGATCACATCAACTCTTGTGTTAAATTTGCTCATAAGATTCTAGATGACCCTCTTCATCCACTACACCTTGATCTATCATCTCGCCGTTCCCATCTGTCCACACGCTCCTCATTTCGACATCTACCCTTTCGCATTAACATTAATAAAAATTCCCCTATACCCTACATGGCCGGACTACTTACCAAAAGGGAACAGGTCTGAAATGACCTACGTCCCAAGTTGTGTACATGAAATCAATATCACTGACATTCCTTACCGTTTGTTTTTATTATTATTATTTCATGCGTGACAAACAGTGCACATTTTAAACTGAAATGTAAGCATATATCCGTACGCAAGTTATACAAATACAGATACCTTGAACCGCTCCACTTCTATTTTTTTCACCTTTTCAGGTTCATTTGCAACAAGGATTTTCCTTGGCGTTCGACAGAAATGCCGTGCTCAATATCGGGCTTACTGATGTTGAAAACAGGAATTCGATTTATTCTGAGAGACCTGACCCCGACAAAAAAGTCGAAACTAATACAGTCGATCACACGTTTGTCCGACCGAACGCACAAAGTGGCCAGAACAATATGTTGCGGCAATACCAACAAGAGAACGCACAGTTAAGGGAAAATGTAAGCATTTTCATTTCAAATGCTTCCTTAGGTTTCGCTTAGGGTGCTTGATTTCGGTCTAGAGGGTGTTATATCAAATGTTTGCTACACTCACCATCAGATACCGTCTATGTGCATTAATCGTGAAGAAAACGACAGTAGGTGAGAGGCGAATAAGTACGCTTTATTCGTGGTGTGACGTAAAGCGATCCGACGAATCAACTAACCATCTTTAACTTTAAATCTACAATCACTTTCCTGTTGGCTTCCAGTTGCTTCATTAACCCCTTTCTGCCGCTACTATNTTTGGCTTCTGTTCTTCTGAACTCGCTTCAGCGTTTTCCCATTCCCTTGTCATTTTATCGTTCATCTCGTTCTCAGGCGGGGTATCACCCTTAACAGGTTTCTGTCCCCAGATGTCAGACTTCTATCTTCCAGTCTTCTTTCCCCCAGGACTACGAAATAAATAGTGGGACACCGATTTCCGTATGTCCGACCGTTTATAACCTTACTGTCTTTAAAAGCAGGATCAAGAAATTGCTTCTCGGCTGAATGCTCCCCCGCATAACTTCCCTCTTACATTTTTTTAGCTATGGGTTCTACTCCTTTATTGTATATTACTTTATTGGTAAAGTTTCTTGACCAAAGGAATAGAAAGATGGATTTGAGAATGAAGTCAGTAACACAGCATTTCATCGTTCATACACAAGATAACATTGCTGAATCTCTGCGATGCTTACCGAAGAAATTCTCTTTAGATGTCAGCAATAAAATTAGCGAGAGAAAAACGTGAATACAGATGTTTAAGGTGACTACTTTGTTAGATTTACGGTGATTTATTTGTGTCCCTCTCCAAGGATCGAGAAGATTCACTATAGATTAAAAATGATGCAAATCAATATTTCCTTCAATTTATTTTCATTGATTCGTATAAACTTGTCATTCTCGCTGCGTTTTGCATCACTTCTTTCCAACTTCACTCTTCTGAAACATAAAACTCGCAATTGCCGCGCTTATGGCAGTCGACTGTCGTTAGTGGGTGTACTTTTACGAACAGTTCTGTGCCGTCGTCAACCTCTAATGAAAACCGCGTTCGGATATGAGCTATGATCGCAGGAATGCGTGGGATCAGGACCCGGGATTCGATCTGCAGTTTTCAAGGCAATGGTACACACTGACTTGATAGGCACTTATGATCGTTCTGAACAGCATAATTGTGTGGGCGTCTGTTTTGATCGAAAGGCATTGATGTAGAGACCCAAGAAGGTTTGTATCATACTGTCTATGTTAAGATGTGTGATATCGATCTGGTTCATGCAATCGCCTGCATAGATCAAATCACTTGACAGCTGATAACTTAAGGGGATTTACGCTAAACTACACCGAGCGTACCTCGCTAAACTGAGTTCTTTTAGTTATTTTCTCAAAATCGTTCACTTGTTTTTCTTCCTCTATTCTAGGTTCGTCGCTTAAATGCAACTATTGATCAATTGAACGCTGAGTTGGCCAGCTTGAGACATATGGTAAATCACGCGCAACAAAGATAAACCCGAGTTGCCTATCTGCGATTCACTAGGATCATAGTTAATCTATGTAAGGGCGGAACGAAAGCCAGATATTGGCCGACATGTGTATATTTACTTTGTTCCTCTGGTTTAATCGACTGACGCACACCCCATGGAGCGCATTCCACTTCCATCTCAATTGATCAATTCCCTACTAACCGTCCATCGCTCTTTCTAAACACAGTGCATAATGCTCCTGTACAGAGTCTAAAGTCATTCTTTCCGTGCCCTCCATCCCTTGCTTGTGATTATGAGCCTAATCATTGTATTGAAACTCCAACTGTTCTTTGATATTTATTTTTTATGGTAAATGAAGTCGTTCTGTTTTATCTATTTGCATAACAAAACGGGATCAGAATGCTGAAACTAGATTTGTGATTTTATTAAACCATCGGTTTAAAACCGTCAGATTGGCCGCTAGCCGTCCATAAAGAGAGGTCGAAAAGAGATGCAGCATGAAAGATAAAAGACGGACGTGAATGGCTACCATCACATTTGTATCGAGATGATCACAGATCAGTTCTTTCGGGAAGGGTGGCCTTTCACTTTATTGAGTCATTCAGTCAGTTACTTGCCAAAATTCAACTGCTTCATAATATCAGCTGACACTCAGCGACAACGGCTTCGCCACCCTTGGTCATAACACACTCGTAACTAAGAGCTGTTGATCAATTAATTAGAAAATCACGCGTGTAATTCCGATAGCCATTGGTACGAGTTGACATTTTTTATTCGCCTTGTTTGGTTACAAAACACACGTGACTGGCCAGCTGTCGGTAGAGGCATTGGTCTGCTCCCATCCTTAGACTAAGACGCATGCCAGGCTAAAATTCATTAATGGTTTGCCAAGATCTTTCTATGAATGACTAGTATACGCCGAATGGTGAAATCTGTTTGAAAATACTGCTGTGAATTTCTGGTGACTCAATTCTCTATAGTTTCAGAAAAATCACGTCGTACTTAACCACGCAGATGGGCATAGTGATATAATTTTCTGTAATTTCTTCTTTCGTGATACCAGCAAAATAAACGCTTAACCGGTTAAAATGAGAGTATTGATATAATCGTCATGTCTTCTGTTCTGGTAACATGAACAAGCGCGAGGGACAACCTGTACTTCTGTCGAAACCACTGTTTGAGTCTGAAGACAATCGAGGTGCACTAAATATGCATATCAAACTTTCTGTCATCACATTTACTACAAAGGGCACTGAAAGACGAGTAGTACTTGATAATAAGGCAATTAATGGCACAAAACGATTTGCAGGCACGATCGACAAACTCGCGACATTAGTTGTGCTCGATTTCCTAAAGGGTCCGAGTGTATGAGTGGGAGGTGAACAGCCGTCGTAGAAACAGTTCTTCTTACCTTCAGAACAACTGATTCAGTCGCACTGTCTACGCATCATCGTTGCTACTAAGTGTTGGTAAAAGTGCGGCCAGATCATAGAAGTGCAGAGTGGAAAACCAGATGATTTCATTCTAGGCGTTCGCATTCTATGCTACGGAAAAACAGGCAGCTGAATCCGAAAATTGAAGTAAATTAATCAAAATTATTACGGGTCTACGGAGTAAGAAAAACGGCAGTAACTGTTAGAAAACCATGTTTTGGGTTACCCTTGTATCCTTGTCCTCTTTTTTGTTTAATGCCAGCATCCATGCGCAACACCTTAGGAAGTACGCACTCCTCCATTCGTTTTTAAATTTTGCTTGCTTCTGTTGAATACACAATGATACCATTTTCAGGAAGAAGGAAGCGATCAATCGAAGAACTGACATGCAACATACATGGAATGGCTGTGGAATTCGAACACACGTCTTCTGAGGCCATAATTATATTAAATTAGAAAATACCGCGCTTAGTTCATCTGTATTAAACACCGTGGTGAGCACCATCGTAGCCTGGTTTAAAACCACATCTATCGTGATCGGGCCCTTTGTTGATGCCGTCCCAAGTCCAAAGGGGCTGGGTGCAACGGGTGAACAGTCCTTATGAAAACGGGGGTCAACTCACAAGACGGTGTGATTCAAATTGTGCCAGCAGATCGTAACAGCATCATACGGTTAAGCGGTATATGACTCAAACACTGGTCAGATATGCTCAGGGCAAAAGTAGATAGATTAACAATGTAACGACGACTGCGGACGTTCACTTTCCGAAACTAATCAACAGTTTATCTGCTACGTCTGAACAGGTTATCACATTTAGGAATTGTTTATCGGATAAAATACTCTCGAGTAATTCCCCCTCCCCACAAAAAAAACAGTTTGATGAAATTATTACTCACTGTTTAGGCAGTATATTTTTTCTGTGATCGTATGTCCAAAAACATATGCACTTCCAAAAAACGAGAGCAGAACTGAACGTGAATCGACAATCGATGAGAAGTGAAGACAAGATTGTTACAATGAGAGATAAACAAAATGATAAATGCAAATTTAAGGAATTGAGATGATCACTCGCCGCATGCACCTTGGGCAGCGTTTGCTTGGGCATTCAACAGCAGTCCCAAGGTCTTATCCGGGAGAAAACCACGCCTAAAAGTAAAATGGAGGTATGGATTATTAACTTGTTGCCATGTATTAGCTGATTGTTTTGGTTCGGAAAATCAATTTCCAGCTAGGAAGTACTTTTATTTTACTTCCTCCTATTAAGTATACAAAGATACAATTTTCAGGAAGGGAGGAAGACAGGTTAACACAACTACTGATCCAATACCGATCAACTAAGAGCAAACGACGTAGGAAATTAGACATCACAATGCGCAACAATGCAATTCAGGAAAGAACGATTTGTGAATAGATTGGGGAGGGGACATGCGAACAAATCGAGCAAGAAAAAGCGGTGCTTTGCCTTGCTTTTTTTAGTCAAATCAGATAGCACTGCATATTTCAAAACTAGCCTAGACAAGCAACAGAAAATGAAGTAATCTCAGCCATATAACTAAACATTATTCTCAGCGGCTCCAGGCCGACAGCGTAACATGCTCGGAAATTTTCACTATCTGTGGTCCACATGCACGCTTGTGTGAACGGTAGCACGTTGCTTGGAACAATCGCCTTTTTCTTTTTTCAGCTTTTCGGACATAGACCCCATCAGGGTTTTCAGTATTCTGACGTTACTTCTTCAGTTGTTTCCCACTTTTGTTTGTGCTAAGACGGCCCCTGGTGCACAACTGAAAAACATCCATCGCAAACTACTGCTTGGTTACAAACGTCCAATCGCACTGACTTCATGATGATAAGGATCACTTACTCAATCAGGTAGTTTTCTAGATCCACCGGGTAGAATTCCTGACCCAAATCACGATCGATTCCCAACAAATTGCCGATGAGGTCGCCCTTTTTGTAAACGAGTATAGCTGGTACCCCAGAACGAGACTGAGAAACCAGTCGGATAGCAAGAAAAAAGTCACAATATCATTTGGTTGAATCCATTAATTGCGTAAAACATGGTTGGAACGATGTATCACCAAATTTTCCCATCAAAAGTAGACATGATAAAGACATACCTAGTTTCTGAAAATAAAAATGTTTTTCAAAACCATCAACAAAAAAGATAGTTGTTCAACCGTGGGCGACAGGATAACGTACGGCCCCAAGTGTCCATTATGCATTGACCTATCACACTGTTGGTCTCACTCAGTTACCTGCTCACAATTAAGATGTTTGGACGGTAGAATAAATTGGTACACTTCCTCTGTACCCCACTTGTTTCAGGTACCGGAAAACAAGAACAATGTAAAACCAACGTTAGCTTTTACCCCTAACATGTTTAATTCTTATAGAAGTGGCGGATCATCTGCATATGATCAAATATGACACCATATAATTGAAACATAAGCAAGCCGCTCTCAGATACCCACCATACAAACGTAAACAGCAGGACCTGTGTGGTCATTAGACCTATGGATATGCTTGGCCCACTGTAATGGAAACAAAGTGCTTGTTATCGAATCCATCACCAAAGGAAACCATTTGAATTTCACAGTTTTCCGTTGAATATATTGCTTGTTCTGAACATCACATCAGTTCATCAGAAGTGGCTGGTAGTGAAAAGTTACGGTAAATTTGATAAACAGACAAAAATGACATTCACTGTATTTCATCTAAATGAGAAACAACGTACGAATTGATAACTCAAGTGAGCGTCAGATGCTCGGAGTCGGCAAAATTTGACATGAGGGTATTCAGTGAAGAGAACCTGAAAAGCTTCATCCACCTTCTTACAAGCGCGGTTTTCCTGCAAAAAATTAGCGGTGATAAATGACCAGCATACCAGCTCATACACATGCACTAACACTGTAACACCTGCGCTGGCCGAATCAATTTCTGAGACGAAATTGACCGCTTTGAGATCGAATATCTTATTGTAAGTTGGTCTAACGAAATACATGAAAATGCATAAATGAAAATGACTTACAGGCGTTCTAAGGCACGGTGAAGCTCACGCATCCGATTTTGCCGATACTGAGCCAAAAATTCATCGTCTTCATGCAAATTATCGATTGCATCTTCCAAGGCCCTTTCCTTTAGTTCTGCCAGAACATCTTCATTCTGAAGGGTATGATTAAACGGACTATGTAAATTACATGAGTTCGGCAGGTAAGTGTATTCTTTTTGGCCTGGCGTATCAGCTCCTTCTCATCTTCTAATTCTTTCAATTGTTTCAGTTCTTTATATTGTTTATAATCTGATAGAACTCCTTTCGGGCCGGTCTACCACAATAAGAAAAGAAAATCGAACATTACCTGAGGCTGACCTGTCGGGATCGGTGGTGCGGCGGATACGACTCCAGATGCAGTCCCATTTTCATGTTCAGATTGGTGTTCATCATCATCATCACTACTGCTACAATAATTGTCTACTTTTTCTCCTAGTAATCGATCATCCAATGATAAAGCCATTGGAAAGACCACTGCAGACTGAATCCTGAAAACATTTGATGCAGAAACGAATGTAAAATTGCCAAAACTCATAATCAGGGGAACTGGTTCAGTAGGTACACCGTTGAAAAGGTGGGATGCCGTCACAAAAGTGTTGGTTACGCATAAGTAATGCAAGAATTCTCGAAAGATAAATGATGAAAAATACATGGTGGTAAAAACGTGTCTCGTATCGGAGGCAGAGGAAACGTTTTGTTTGACTAAATCCTGGTCAAAAGTTAGAAATAAAGCCGAACAAGAATCTAGAAAAGTAACTAGGAAATTGTTCTTCATTGTGAACTAAACTGCTGCGGACAACTGTTCTGCTGCAATCGATGCTTCCGAACCGCTGAATATGGCGTGCAAGAAGAGGGATGCGGTTACTATCACTCTAGATGAAAATAACAGGGTTTATATCCGCCAACCAATGATGGACAAAACAAATTACAGCAATGACAAGACGTTGAGTTATCTGTCTATCCATCTTACTTTCCTTATTCTGAATAATACTTAAATAATTAGATGCAGCCAGTCACACTCATAAAACGATAAAAAAACCAGGCACATTTATATGGCAAAATTAGAGGATATCACTGCGTCACGCACATGAAAAGCTCCATCGACACTTCCCGAACCAAGTCACCCATTGCATTAAAATAAGTTTCTTTTGTTCACCAAGGTTTCAGTATGTACTGGATTATCTCAACTGATTTTATTGTCGCTCATCGACAACACCAGTGGAAAATGCGAAGTATTGGTGCCCGAGCACCGTAGGGCATTGCGCGAGTCAACTCAGTTGTAACTTTTCAAACAATTGCGACGAAACTGCACTTTGATGTGATGTGATGATGTGCGTGCCTCCGTGACCGAGCGAGCTATACAGGATGGCTCCTCACAGTCGCAGACCCGATCATGCCTGAAAATTCAGTGGGTAGAGGCAAGACGAAGCTCAATCTCACCAGACCAGGTGCTTGGACACCTGGCTTCATTTGACTATCCACTCTCACCCCTGGAGAGGCCACTCCAGCAAATAAACACGGTGAAAGGCAGTTTACCGATCAAAAAGCCCCGCTAGATGGACGTAGGAGCGGGTTGTCTGTGGCTTCCTCCTAACAATGGGAGAAGTCTTTGCACTTGATTGAACAGCCACCGCCCGATTAAGCTTGGCGGCCCCTAGCCAATAAAGTGCTGACCCGTCCACGTTTCGCCTATCTCATTGGGTGCATGAGGCTAAGGGCCAATCCCGAAAGGCGGACCGTCGATAAACGCACCAGCGAACAACATACCGAACCGAAACTTGAAGACCTTACGTGACAGATCTCTAGAGGTTCTTACTCGGGTGCTTCGGTCACGCTCCCGCGTTGGATCTACGCCCCATAGCCTTGTGGGTCAGACTTTTGAGTCGAAGGCTCCAGTTGGGGTTCTAAAAAATCCCTTCGTTAGTGCTTTCAGTTTTTNATCAACCATGCACTCTTGTGCACTGGTTTTGGTTGCCGTCTTTTCGTCACCCACTTGGAAAAAAGAGCGGAATAAAGATGGGAATATTGAGAGACAATTCAAAGGGAAGATAGAGAACTGATATAGACTGGGGTTGCAAGAATATTGAGTGGGTCAGTATCATCATCATCATACAGCCAAATACAGTGAAGCGAACTTCACTGATCGTTGTCCAACTCGCAATGCATCAAAGGTAAGTGGTAATATTTAAGGTGGACAGGGATTGGACTTGTTTTGAGAGAGGGAGAAGTGAACCTCTATGGTCAATACATAGAGTACACAACCGAACTCTGCATACATACCGTTTTAGGCACTCAGACCTGATAAAAAATTACAAAAAGAACACCACTGCTGTCGGCTCGCTGCCATATCCTTCAATGTCTCCAATCAACCAGTTGTGGAGTCTTTCGGATCCCAACCTGGAAGGCACGTGACACCTATTCTACCGGATCGCTCTGTGCATTTCTTCACAGAGCCATGGTACTAACTACATGCACGAGCGCCACTGTTTGTGACACTCAGCCATATCACTCGGCGTCTCTAACCGCCAGTTACCATGATCTCGGGGTCCCCATCCAGGGAGCCTAACGGGAGCTATGTGACCCAGTTTCCTGGTTAGTGTTTCGATGCCCTCGTGCCAAGCCTTAAATCGACCGCCCTTGACCTTTACCCACCCACTACCTGCCTCGGCAAACATCGCTCGCCGTGGCAACCTATCTGGCGCCATGCGCCGCACATTTCCCAACCAACGTACTCTATGGAGGTCGACCGCTTGCACCAGTGGACGACCACGATTACCTCAAACTCTACGCCTAACCTCAGCATTGCTCGTCTGGCTTCCACCACCAGACTCGTGAAATGCGACGTAGACAGTGATGTTCAAACACCGACAATCTATTTTTATCCGGTCCCCGCAGTGGCCAAGTCTATGCACCGTATAGCAGAACTTGCTTCACTGCTGCAGCATACACTCGAACCTTCACGGACAGCCGAATTTTGCGACGGTGCGACAGATGTCACAAGTCGGCAAACGCCAACCCAAACTTCTGTATGCGTGCCAGCACTGCATCCGTGACGCGTCCGTCAGGTGAG